AAGAAGAAGAAGAAGAAGAAGAAGAAGAAGAAGAAGCAAACGATCAGCTTGTCAGACCTGATAACTGGAGCAGTCACTGACACAAAGACAAAAAGTTTGGTTGGTTTTTATGGATTTAGTTCTGTACTATAGCTAAACAGTTTTGAGATTAAAGCCAGCGTTTCATCAGCAGCTGCAAACGTTTAACACGAAACTGAACAAAAATCTTTTCATCTTTAGATGTACAATCTAGATAGATACAGCGATGGATCCGAGCTGCTTAGACTGTATGGCTGAAGTTGATTTTTGACCAAAACATGGACTCAACTAAACAAGCTGGTTGCTGCTATCCCAGTGTTGTGAAAGTTGCAATGAAATGTGCAATAATAATTACTGCTGAGGCCTAAGCAGAGGGTAGACCACAGGTTGAAGATGTGCTGCTCTGGTGGTATCCTCATACTAGATGAACTGACTGCATAGATAAAGCTTTGGAGTCTTTGTTTCGCCTTCAACATCTTAAAACTAATTTTTGTGATCAATACAAAAGTGGTTTAATTAGTTGCTGCTGCTGGTGCTGGTGGTGGCACAATGCATTGTGGGATAGCTTGCTGGCTAATCCTTACTGTCACATATAAACCAATGTCCTAAAAAAAATAATAAATTATTGCAACATATAAAAACAAAAGAAACTATTATGTGGTGTGATTTAAGTATTGCAAACCTAAAATAAGTTGATAAATAGCAAAGACATCTCAGCATACTGCAGGTTGGACCAGGGCAGCAAACTGATGGACATATATTTGTGTAAAGATACTAACCTGAGTTTTTAATGCTGGTTTCACTGATTCAGTCGTGTTAAATTTACTTCACCACAGGTTCATTTTTCTCAATGCGGCAAATATAATCATTTGGATCTTTGTTGGCTTTAGACTCAGAGCATCCAGACATAACGGTGCTGTGCCTTAGATGTAATGATGTGCTGAAATGATTAGGTTGTCTGGCTGCTCAAGATTGGCATCGCTGGAGGATATTCTTCATGTATTTCATTATTATTACCATTTAATCTTCCAATTACTTGACCAGCCATTTTTGCTGTCTTTCTTATGTGTAGGTCCAGAAAGCGGGTGAGCATTTAACAGTAGTTTGTATCTGAATTATGTTTCTGGTTTACAAAGGAACTGTGTCCATTAGTAGCCACAGCTCACATTTATTGTTTCAGACCCAGCTTGACCCATTAGTATTTGATTTAACCACTAAGCTTATGATGTAAAGATGGCAAAAAAAACTTCTTAATACAGATGAACATGTAGTTATACTGCAGTATTCAGCTGTTCTAGAGATCGGCTGCTTATATCACCTGTTCTGCTAACTCCACAGCCTCAGAACCCCAAAACCATTTTTAAGCATGAAAAAAAAGGAAAAACTGAAGAACTGCAAAAGGGAGCAAATATTTTCACAGTTCCAGAAGCAAAGAAAAACTCTGCTAGATAAGATATTGTGTTATTTATTTATTTAGCAAAAGTACGTGCTCTCAATAAATTGACATTAATAAATGATTCTCAAGCAAGTCTGCGGCTTTCACATAACCGCCCCGTCCCTGATAACCAGACGCGTTTTTAGAGGGAAAGCAAAGGGCCGACTGCCCGATATCTCCAACATTTATCCCAAAAGCAATATTTAGTTTTTCAGATCGACACTTCATATGCAGTAATTGAGGCATTGCAGCTTGTTTGTGCCTTTCACTCCTGACAGAGGACAAATCGAGACAATTCAAGTGTGCCTGATGTTTACTGCGAAAACACTGCAGCTCTGATCTGACGAAAACCAAGCTTGGATTAACACGGCTGGTTTAGCCTTTCAGTCCTCACTAACACAGGTTGTAATGAACCGACATGAGGACACAAGGACACAGTAGGAGGACAGATTGTGGAAATTAAGGTTTCTTATTTGTAAGAGGTAAGCAAAATGAAAAGACAACAGGAAATTATAAAATAAAAAAATTAAAAAACTGCTTACATTACCTTGTTTACAAATGTCTCTTGTGAGTTATGGAAAACTCTAAGAGTTTGTTTTCAAAGGGTTTCTGTTCCTGCCTTGTTTTCAGATTGATAACAGTTTTCTCAGTCGTTGCTTCTTCCTCACATTTTCAGATGAAATAGAGGCTTCTTTTTTTTTAACGTGATTTTTTTTTTTTTTTACCTGCTTGGCTTTTACTCAATTCTCCATAAAAATGCTTATGTATTTCTGCAACCCAAAACATGATGTATATATTGCTATTGCGGAGAAATAACATTCCTTTTACCTTCTGTGTCCCTTTAGAATTGGATACCAACTTCCTATATTTGCTGGCTTCTGTATCATGTTTCTGTCTACCATCAGTAAGTTCAATCAAATCAGTGCTGATGATCAATAAGCCGCCCTGCCTGCTCTGTGTCTGATGGTTTATTCTTTGTAATTCTGCTGTTTTTTCCTGCTGTGAAGTGTTCGCCTTTTCATCCAGTTACACTTTGCTGTTTCTGGCCAGATCGCTTCAAGGTGTTGGCTCCTCCTGTTCGTCAGTGGCTGGTAAATAACCTTTTAATTTTATAAACTGAAGACAACCTGTCTGTCTGTTTGTCTATTTGAAAGTTGGTGATGTTCTAATATTGGAACAAATGCCTTCTATGCTAAGGTTTTCCCCAGCTTTTACTGAATCATGCTACATTCTTAAGCACTGGGTTTAAGAACATCTTGAGTTAAATGTAGGTATCATAGCTTTGGCTTTAGTTTCTTTCATTAAACATTTTGATGAGAAACCGGCATAGATGGGCCCGTTTTGGTCATTCATAACTCACCAATCCATGCAGCAACACGTCGTTCACACACTTTCAGGAATCAGTCTGGGATAATGGAACCAAACAAGGAACCAAGTTCACCTGGATTGATGTAGAGCAGGACGCATAAAATGTGTGTCCCACTTCTCTGATTCTTAGTGGTTCAACACATCAATGGTGTTATGGCCAATGGAGAAATCACCCTTGAGTAAAAACCAGTGACCTCTTCTGTCTTGGTCCACGTCACCATGATTTGTCCTGTGTGTTTATCCAGATAAAACCGGATAGTCTTTGTATATGATTTACAAGTTTACTTTAACCCCCCCCAACTCATTCCATTGTGATCTTTTTTAGAAAAATTTTTGGGAAAGTATTATGCAATTTTAATGTAATGTCACTGACCTTTTTTTTCTTCCCTTGGTCCAAGTCCATTGCTGTTCTGGATCAGGTCAGGAACTGACAGTGTATAAATGGCTTAAACACATCGTGTAGAAACAAGTTATGAGGGTGGAGGGACGTAATGTATCATCAAGGGATGAATAAGAAACCGACCTCAAACATACTCGTTCATGCACAGATGGCAGGTGACATCTTTAAATTGTACAGATTGCTTCTGATATCATCCACATTTAACACTGTTCAAAATGTAAAAATTAAGTTATGACCAAAAAAAAAAAATTATGTGAAAATTATATGCATGTAAAATACATGTCAAAAGTGATTGTCTTCAAGTAATAAACTTTTATCTGCAAAGGTTAAAATGCTAAACAGAACGTAGCCTTAACACAGAGGCAGAATGTCCCAATGAAGGGCAACCAGGAAGATAATCTCACTATTTTTAGAACACTATGAATAAGTTAGCATGGCTTTGAAAACAATAGGTGGGCCTACTCTTCCTGATGGCTGCTATGTTAGATAGCAGCGTGCTAATGTGAAATAGATAGATACTTTGACCAATCAGAACACACCAACCAATAACTGTGTCCAATCGAGCTCACAGGCAACCACACAGATCCACTTTTGATTTGACTTTGAATACTTTTTGAGAAAACGTGGTGAACCTCCAACACCAAGATGGAAACAAACTGTGGCTCCCTGGACAGACGAGCTTGATGGGTAGAAATATTGTGCAGAGATTCTCTCTCTTCTCTTCTCTTCTCTTCTCTTCTCTTCTCTTCTCTTCTCTTCTCTTCTCTTCTCTTCTCTTCTCTTCTCTGAACTGAACTGAACTGAACTGAACTGAACTGAACTGAACTGAACTGAGCAGCAGGACAAACACAAGCCATAAACAGTATGGCACATGACAGTTTATTGTGACATGTAACAGTTTATTTATTGATACTTTTGTGGCTAGAAGCAGTAAAATCCTTTCATTTACAAATGAAGTGTTAATATTGGGATCCTGTGAATAAATATATATATTTTTAGAATAATTTGCTCTCAGTCATTCATTTCATGCAGTTTTGGCTCCCTGACAGGGAATTCACCCGTCAGACAAACAGGCCTTGGATAACACAAACAAATGTCTAAAAAATTGAGACTCATAGAATTTATTTTTTTTATTTTTGACGTAATGCGACCTGTATCTGATCTTTTCATGACAGCCTGAACATCACAGGTTGGATTCTTTTTCAAATGCGAACCAGATATCCAACACGTATTCGATTCAAATGTGACCTAACGTCCAGTTCGCATTCATCCGACCTGAACGTCGCCTCAATCACATTGGGACATTTTGGGGAAAAAGCATAGGAAGCCTCCAGGTTTAATTCCTACAGCACTGCATGTACAGTTTTCCTCTAGGAGATTGATGTTTTCTTTGTGCTCTGCATTCTATCATAATGATAAAATCTTTCATTTCAACAAATTACAGTAAAAGAGTAAATGTGTCCAGGCTCTTTTAACTGATGTCCTATTTTTACATCTTACATTATTTGTCTTTAAAACCTTATCCATAGTTTGCATCAGAGTCCTCTGTTACATTGACCAAATGTAACAGAGTGTTTTATCCAGACACGGTGAAAACAAGGACTTGTCATTCCGAAGTACTGGCATGTTCACTCGCACACATATTTAATTTTGAGAGATGAACTAAGGGTTTTTGAGAAAGAAACTTCCTTTTCCATTTAATCCATGGTGCTTTGTTGTTTGGACCAGCTGCTTTGAGAAAAGCCCATGCTGTTCTGCAGATCTCAGAAATGATTTGAGAAATGCACCATAGTGACTGAAAAAATCTGTAACAGGTGAGCATGTTGCTGCCTTTGGAAAAGCAGGTCCAGTCACTGAACACATGGTGCAATTCATGGATCAAAGACGCCAATCCTTGATCTCGTTTAGCAGTAGATATCACTATTGGCCACACATAGAGCCCATCATTTAAGGACAAAGGCCAAATAGAAAGGAACATGTAATTTTATAAAACTCTGTACCTGGACTGTCATTTACAACAAGAAAAAATAGGGTTGCCCTTTCTTGGCATCCATACATTCATTGACTGATCGGACGTGCTAACTGCAGTGATTCTCAGTCATTGTTGTCTCCCACAGTCGGGCCCCCGTTCGGCAGTGTGATGTACGACTTTGTTGGGAAAACAGCTCCTTTCCTCATTCTGGCATTCCTGGCGCTCTTTGATGGGGGTAAGCGCCGATGGAGAACAGGCAGACTCCTAACTATTGCTCAGGGTTTCTTCACCACTTTGAATCATCTCTAATCAACTGGATTCCAGCATCTTTTTGTTTTATTTACTTAATGTTTATATATCTTTTCAGCTCTGCAGCTCTTTGTTCTTCAGCCTACCAAGGTGGAACCTGAGGTCAGTGTGTTTCTCATCCATTCAGCTTGAATATGCAACCCAGCTGCCCTGCAACTGTTAATAAGTCATACTGTGTCGGTTATCTGTCCGGCATTGGGCATTGTTTTCTACATATTTTATAAGTTATTCTTTATTTTGGTTTTTATACACAGATTTAAGCAAAAAAAAAAAATTAAATTAAATTAAATAAAAAAAAAATAAAATAATAATAATAATAATAATAATAATAATAATAATAATAATAATAATAATAATAATAATAATAATAACTGAATAAATGTGCTCAAACTGGCGTTAGTTTTATACAACATTTTCCAAGAAGCACATTTGTGAGGACCAGGCCTCTCAGAGTCTGTTCTAATTCATCCCAAAGGTGTTCAGTCAGGTTCCAGTCCATGTTTTGTGCAGGCCAGTCAGGTGTCCATGCTAGCTTTGTAGTTTTCTGCACTAATGAACAGTCACTGTGGAACAGAAGGGAAATTCCCCTGATGCCAAGTTAGAAATTGTCCAAGCCTCACATAGTGATGTGAGGCTTTGGCACTTACATTAAACTCTGAATGCATATTTAATTAAGTATAATGCCTTTATTCAATCAAGTGGCTCCCTGACAGAGAGAATTTACCCTTATTGAGTTGAAACTGAGAGATAATCAATTTTGTGAGACTTCAATTTTCCATAAATATTTTTGTCTTTGTTTACTTTTTTTCTACCTCCTTTCTTGCATGTTATATATAACCAATATATCAGTCACATCTGTTGATTGATTAATATTCCACTGTTTGAGAGTCTGTCAGTCACCGCAGTCATATTCTCAGTTCATATCAGAAATGATCTATTTGACTCTTCATTATTAGCACTTCTGTTCTTAAAGATTCAAATTTTGTAAAGCGCTTTACAGAAAACAGAAGAAACATGCAGCTTGTAAATAGTTGTTATTGATCGTGTTGGTTATAAATAAGAAACGTTTTGCAGTGCAATGCTTCTATAAGTTGCTTTGCTCATAGGTATCGACATGCAATGCCGTATGTTGTAATCTACATGTTTTTCTTCTTTCACACAGAGTCAGAAGGGAACGCCACTGTTCACGCTGATGAAGGATCCGTACATCCTGATCGCTGCCGGTAAGGAAGCAGTAGCAGCACTGCAGGTTTGAGGGATGTTTGTTTAATGGCGTTGAAGAAAGAGTAGGAAGACTGATGGACTCAGATGCTGTTTCAGGTCATGTGGCCACGCTACCAAGCTAACAGAACAGAACAGCTCTGCTTGGTTCAAATCACGACTTCCAGTGCTGCTTGCTAAACAGTCTGAAAAACAGAGGGAGCGAAGTTTTATGTCACTCAGACTATTTTCACCACATGTGGGCAAACCTTGAACAGCTCTGGGCCGGTTCCAGGTGAGCTAAAGGGAAAAGCTCCTTCATCTGACCTTTCAGAGAGTTCCACACCCCACTGTCTGGACCCAATACTTCACACATTTTATTCCCCTTTTTTTCTTTCATCAATGTAGCTATTTAGAGGTTTGCATCCCTTCTTATGGACACCTCCTCAGTACTCCAGAAAGAACGTCATGATCAAGGCTACCTTTATATTTAACTCTAAATATTTGCAGAAAGGGTAATATTTACAGAGGGTGTTGACAGTTATTGTAATGATCGAGACTTTGTGATGCAAACTAGTTGTTGAATTTTTGGTTTACTTCCTCCCTACTGCCTGTAAATTGGCAAAAGTGGTTACATTTTAGTTGGAGTTATGAACTAAAATAAAAAATTGGCAAATGGACTGAACTAAAAGACATACATTTAACAGAAAATGCTGGTTCGGTTTAGTTTGGTTGACAATTCTGTTCCTTATCTGGTAGGATGGATCTTATGCTAAATCCTCTGAAAATAAAAACAACACATAAATAGTCCAAACTGAAATTATGTTTATTTGTAGACTGGGGAGATATGTAATATAATAACACAAACACTAAATGAGCATGCTGTTGCCTTGATAAATTATTTCAATGTAAAATTTTGTTGATGTTTTATGGTTCCTTTTGCCATCCCGTCATAAAAGTATGACTTTGAAAGGAAGAGTAGTATTTATGTTAGCATAGCTGTTCGTGATTCTAACCAAATTCTTCAGCTCCAGTGCTATAAAACAACATCTGCCATAATGGGATCAAACAGGTAACAGAGGCAGCTGGCCGGAGCTGTTTATGTATCTTGTTCCAGATGGTTGTTTGTTGGAGGAAAAACACATTAGCACCAAAGAACAAAAATAAACCATAATTGAGACTGTATGTAGTTATCTTTAATCTTCATCTGCAGGTGCCATTTGTTTTGGAAACATGGCAATTGCCATGATGGAACCAACCCTGCCAATCTGGATGATGGAGACCATGTGTACCAGGAAGTGGCAACTAGGTATTTAAGCAGAAAATACACAAAACACACACCGCAACCTACACCGCCACAGAAGCATACAAGTGTGGAAAAAAAAAACAAAAAAACACAGCATATAACCAGAACATCTCCTGGTTCAGGTTCACTGTGTTGAACTGTAAGCGAGACTCCTTTCTACGTACATTGTTGTTCTTCTAACTTTTAAAAAGTCTATAATTTGTCATTGTCAAACCAGGTCATTTTCCCACACCAGGTATGGGACTCTTTGCTGCTTCCCCAGAGTTACCTTGGTCAGGTAGCTGCTTCTCTGAATGGTGCTGTCCTTGTCAAGCTGTTTGGTTGAGGTATACAGCTGAGGTTTGTGGTTGTGCTCTACTCTTTCCCCTTTCCAATGAGGAACTCTGGAAGGTGTTCACAGTTTTGGTTATTATTTAAGCGTCTCTACAAACTTCCTCCGTGTCTGCGGGTTTCCTGGTCTTCACGATGCTGCTTGTCCTCCAACACCAAACCTCTAAGGACTTAGCAAAAACAGCTTTGTTGGAGAAATGAAAATACATACTAATGGGTTTGTTTTGGAATGGAATCAGGTGCTCTGGATTTTATTTGAGGTTTGTCAAAGTAACATTTTTAACTTCATCATTAGGATCTACTTTGCATTGGTCTATCATCAAGGCACTGACGATTGATGTTTTAAAGTGCTAAAATGTAGACAAATGTATTTAGAAGGTATACTTGCAACTATGGGCTGTGTGTATATGTGTGTGTGTGCGCGTATAAAGCTCTGTTTAAATTGTCAGTTAGCAAATGTTGTTGACATTGCCTTGCCACAGACTTTTCTATTATATTTTTTTTTCCTGCTCGCTTGTATATGAAGTCTAGGTCAGATAAAGAAGATGAAAGGGGAACAGGATATTAGGATGTCACATGCTGGCAGGTGGAAAGGAGACTTCATTACACACAATGCGAGATGTACAGCAGCTCTGTGTGCGACACTGATAAACATCTCCTTATCTTTGCCTTTCTGCCCACACCTCTGTTCCCTTTGTGTCTCTGTCTGTGGCCCAGGCATCGCTTTCTTACCAGCCTCCATCTCCTACCTTATTGGAACCAACATCTTTGGCTCGTTGGCACACAAGATGGGAAGGTAGGGAGGGAAATTGTCCTTATCTACTTTCCTCCACTCTGCCTCTGTGGATGTGGTATCTGTTTCCGCTCCTATAAATGAGTTTCAGGGGTTTTAATGTTTGCGTGGTTGTGCCATTATTGAAGCCTTGACAGAAAAAGGCATTCAGTAATTTCTTTATAAAAATGCAGACTTTTCTGTAAAAATGATTTTGTCTTTTGGCAAGCAATGCTGAACAAGAGCATTGTACTGGTTAGTGTTACTGTAACACATTTCTTGAGAAGTATAAGAGCGTTGGACATTTTATATACAGTTTTTTGTTTTGTTTTGTTTATTTTTAACCCAGCCTTTATTTCTTCATGAACCCTGCCCATTTATATGGTTAATCAAATTCGCAGTATCAATTTATAAGTTGCAAAGAGAAGAAAAAAATAAGTCATTCAAGCAAGATTTTTAACAGGAAATTTTTATCTGGAGCTTTTAAACAAATTAATTACAAGAGGAGAAAATGTCAGATGAATATGTGCATTTCTTCAGCAATGTTAGAACGAACTCTTCATCACTTAGTTTCATTAGTATGAATCAAATCAATATCAGAGCACATTCACCACAGGGCAGTCAACCCACAAAGACAGCAGGGAAAGGGACAAGTGATGAGTCCGGTGACATGAGGTGGGTGAAGTTTGTCTGTGACTCAACATGACACCAAACCTGAATCAGTGATAACTGCTAACAATGTTTACTACCAATTAACACCATAAGTTGTCTCAAGATACTTTAGAGAAAAAGAAAAAATGTTTTGGTTTTTTTTAAAATCCAATTATAAATATAAATTCCATATCAACCATAAAGATTCCAACTGAAAACTGGTTAAAAGGTTTTCCGTCTTAGAAAACTCAGCAGAGTCATTCACTCACTGAGAACAGTGGAGAGTTGTTGTGTCGTGTCATTGACTTTGCAGCAATCCCTTGTGCTGCCATACTTCTCCACTGCCAATTTCACTTTGAATACAAATAAAATAGGCTTATTGTACAACCTATTGTATTTTAGGCTGTACAATAAACTCTGCTCCATTTTTAGAAATGTACGGCTTTGCTATGTAATTTTTGTCCTTTCTAAAGATATTGCTGGGATTGCTGTCAAGTCTCAGGTCAGGCAATCAGCTGTCAGCTGTTAGTCACAAAGGAGCGGCCTGTTGCGATGCTAACTGTGTGCTGTAAAAATGAACGTGAACCACAAGGCAAATGGGAACATTTCTGATCTTAAAGATGTATGCTATCTGAGGAACTTCAGAAGGAGACATCTTTTAATGTGACCCAATTTTCTAATTAAGGAGCAGAAGAAGAAGAAGAAGTCAGCCTATTCAAATTCTGGACACACTTGCACCAGAATAACACTGCTTTATCCAGACGTTAGGAGACCTATCAGACGTAGAGGGTTCTGTCTACTTACAACACGTAACACTTCCATCAGTTTGTTGCCCTGGTCCATCCTGTAGTGGTGCATCTCTATCTCAACGCCACATGACTCCCTGACTTTTCTCATGTGTCCTTCCACTGTTCCAAAAGGTGTTCATGAATGGCTCTGGGGATCGGCAGCCCTAAAGCTATAGCCATGTACTATCTACCAGGTGCCTTATCCACTTCTGATTGATCTGAAAGATCCAGTCATGGATCCAACCTCTGCTCATCCCCTTTAACTAAGTACTAAAATTGGGAGACGGCTTAACCTGCAGTATTTGCTGATTCACCGCAATTGTGTTGATTTTGTGGTGCCAACCAGTGTGACAGATTGCCCAAACTGTTCCATCAGGTGTTTGTCCATAGAAGATTACGTGACTTTCAAACACTCTGAGTGGACAAAAGGACTAATTTGTTCATTTTTGCTAATTTATGAAAAGTACATTGAAAAAGCCCCTGAGTGATGCAGCCACACTGGGCAGAATGCCTTAGCAGAGCCAGTTTAGTCAGATTGTTTGTTTCAGCACACAAACGGGTAGCTTTACGTGAGCTGCCAACACACAGTGATTTTCACAGGAAACTGAACTCCTAACCCCCCTTATGCACGACTTTCTGACCAGTACATTTTACATTTCCTCCTCTCGATTCATTGTTTCTGCAGCATTCAACTTCACTTGTACTAACAGCCACTTTTGTTCCAAACACTAGTAAATATCTCAGCTGTCATTACTCAAAGGACTGTTGGCTAGAAACAATTAGATTAGTGACGGACTGTATCCTGACTACTTCACATGCTTGTGGAAATAAGAGATGACTTGATTCTTTTTCTTTTTATCTTAACTTCCTTAGTTAATGAAAAAAGCTTCATTTGTACAAATGTCTGCTTTTCCTGGAATGTTAAAAACTGCCATGTCTTAAACGTGGATCAATAATCATGTTACGCAGATTTGCCTTTTGTTGTGATTCACCCAACAACTGCAAAATGGTATAACAACGCTTTAAATGGTTCCTTTTAAGCTTTCTGTAAATGACATATGAAGTTCACAAACCTATGAACTGTAGAAAATGTTCTGATGTATTTGATTTGCCAACCTTACATTCATCCATTTTCCCTTACGTTGAAAATGAGTCAGCTGTGACAACACCTGTTTGTTTTCCAGATGGCTTTGTGCTCTCATTGGAATGGTGGTGGTCGGCTTCAGTGTTATTTGCGTGAGTATATGAGAGACGTTTGAGGAAACAGAGTAAACGCACACCTCTATTAAAGTAAATTTTATCAGCAGTACTTGGTTAAAGTATCAATTTAAAATGGATGTAAAACATGAACCGAAGCTGAACTTTTTATTGGGATTCAGCAGAGTGGCCAACCGGGTTTGGGCCCTTGTTGCTACAGTTTGTATGTTTCTGTTTTCCTTGTGCATGCCAGGATTGTAAGCCAGCTTCCTCCACAGCTCAGTGTGCATGTTTGCTGCTTGGACATTCTAAGTTGCCCTGTAGATGTTAGTGTTTTCCTGGTTGTGTGTTTTCCTGGCTGTGTGTCTGGAGAACAGGTGGCCTGTCCAGAGTGTTTTCCACCTTTTCGCCCAATGACCACTTAAAATAGACACCAGCCCTCCCACATCCCACAATTCTTAAAGGAGAAAGCATAATTAACTGAATGGATGAATTTGTGATTTTATCACAAATTTGTGATAAATTATAGAGACTATAATTAATAACTAATTTGTCTGCTTTAGGTTCCTTTTGCCAGAGACATCTACGGTCTTATTCTTCCAAACTTTGGTGTTGGTTTTGCTATTGGTGAGTTCTCACGTCTATTTGCTTTGTTGCTGTAGTCTGAAGTGATAGTTACACATGATTTCTAAATGAATCTCACAGGCATGGTGGATTCCTCCATGATGCCTATAATGGGTTACTTGGTGGACCTGAGGCATGTGTCCGTGTATGGAAGTGTGTATGCCATTGCTGATGTAGCTTTCTGCATGGGATTTGCTTTGGGTAAGTAAGAAACCAAAAATAAAAATTTTTGAACGATACAAATTATTTAGCTAAATAATAGCTAAAGCTATGTCAGAATACTTAAGGTTTTTTTTTTTTATGTCTGTTGAGTGTAAGAAATTTACTGACTTTGTCTTTTATAAATGAGTTTGTTTATCCACATCAGTTCATTAAAGAGCCATTAGGTAAACTGGCCAAATGCAATTCATTTACATTAATTTGATCTAATTGCAATTCAATTCAACACCATTTGCACATAATATAGTGAGATTCAGATACAAATGTATCTACAGAAATTTTAAACTAGAACTACCAGCAGTTATCTACAGGTTCCAAGCTTGTCTGAGCCCCTGGCACTACCCCAGAGGGAATAAGTCTGCCCCTGGGGTAGCAAGTCCAGGGGCGGCAAGTATCCTCAAGATACTCTGAGGATGAGGCCATTCTGATCCTGAGGTATCCTCTCCTCATCCTGTCAGCCCAGTGTTGTCTGGTCTTGACTCCTTTAAGGTGAGGGCACCATGCAAAGCTCTCCTCCCTGTTTCCTATCAGCTTGGCCTGTGCAGGTGTCACTGCAGGTCAGCCAAGAGTTGTGAATTTGCAGGACGGTGGTTACTTCTTTTGCAATTACAATGCATTCAGGCTACGGGTAAATGTGTAACACGTTTTAAAAATGTGTGCTGTGTAACCGTAGATACTGTAAAACGACTCTGTTTGCATCTGGATCACAAAACATCCACTTCAAAATAATAATAATAATAATAATAATAATAATAATAATAATAATAATAATAAGATTTGGAGTTAAAATTAAAAAATATATATTTAAAAATGGTTTATCATAGAAATGCCAACATATTCTCTGATGACTGGTTCTAAATCTGGAGTAATATAAACATTTATCCATGTCCCCAGACTTCATGACTTTTTAATGAACCATAGTAATATGCCATTTCAATCTATAACTGGCAATGCATACCCCAATACAAAAAAAATGATAAAGGTATTCGTAGATGTTCTGGTCTACAACAGGACCAATGCCCATAGCACAGGTCAGGAAACATAATGAAGAATCTCCACAGTTACAACTGTGTGCTTGGAACCCTAATTACCATCTGACTGCAATGTGTTGCACAACCTGAGTGAAACATATGTTAGAATCTATTAACACAGTGAGTTTTGACGTGTGTGATTTACCTATGCCTCTGGTGAGGCTCTCCAGCTTTGGTAAAATAAAAAACTTAATTCTGCACCTTTGTGAATCAGGACATGGAGATAATTAATATGATACGGCCTTGTTGGTTGTGTCCCTGGGCGAGACGCTTCACCCATCTTGCCCGTTGGTGTTGACAGAACGGTCGATGGCGCAAAATTTGCAGCCTCATTCCAGTCAGCCTCGTTCCAGTCAGCCTCGTTCCAGTCAGCCTCGTTCCAGTCAGCCTGCCCCAGGGCGGCTGTAGCTACAATCCAGTAGCTTGCCATCATCAGCATGTGAATGAGACCTTTGATATTTTGATTGGAGATTTAAAGGGCTTTATGAATATTATTATTATTATTATTATTATTATTATTATTATTATTATTATTATTGTTGTTGTTGTTGTTGTTGTTGTTGTTGTTGTTGTTGTTGTTGTTGTTGTTGTTGTTATATAGAGAAGCAGCATTCAGCTTCTATGCACCACAAATCTGGAACAAACCTGCAGAAAACTGCCAAATAGCCGAGTTGCTATTGAAACCTAATCATGAAACATTAATCAATAATCTAATGTGTAATGATGACAAAATGTAATATTGTTGACTGTGTGTTCTGTGACTTTGTATTTTTTGCGTTTTTATGATGTAAAGCACTTGCTGAAAGGTGTTATACAAATAAAATTTTATTTATTTGATTTTATTATTATAAGGTTTACACCAGGTGCTGCAGTGGTTCTTAAAAAATGTTTTTGCAGTTTTAACAGTACCCTTTATTCATTTTATTTTCAAAAAACTGAAAAGACAGGAGTTAAAAATGTACCACCTTGCTCCTTCCACCTGATTTAAAAGGGAAAGCAGAAGCCAGTTGCTGCTAAGGAAGTATTGCAGTGAAAGCTGTTCAGAGAGGAGCAACGTATTAACACTGCTTCAAAAATAACCAGCAATAAGGCAGGACGAGTTCTACTATGACTGTCAGGTGAATTCAAAGATCGCCTAAACAACAGCAGCACAGAGATGAGAACAGAAGTTGGTTCTCTTGACTGAGTAAATTACACCCAAATGACTTACTACTCAACTAAAACGTTCAACATCCTCTTGTGAGAAACAAACTAAAGCTTTCCACAAACCTGATCTGATCTTATATGTGCTCTTGTTCAAGAATGAACAAAATGCTTGTGTTAAAATGCTTCATTATTTTCCAACACCAACTGTTCGCCAGCCTTTGGTCCAGATCTACTTCCCTTCACAAACAGCCTCTCTATTTAAGATATGACAATCAAAACTCCAGAACTCGACTTCAGTGTCCTCTGACTGTCTACTATTAATCTACAACTCAGATTTATTCGTCTCAGCACTAAAAAAAGTCAAGCAAACAAATCTGTGCAGTGTTTCCTTGTTGCAGGTCCGTCCATTGGAGGATCCATAGCTGAGAGCATCGGCTTTCCTTGGCTGATGACCATCATCGGAGTAGTGGACATTTTCTTCGCTCCTCTCTGTTTCTTCCTTAAGAATCCGCCTGGACAAGAAGAGAAAATTGTAAGTTTTGACCCTAAATTCAAGGCTGCCTATAGGAACCAGTCCATCAATGAGATGTTACCCAAAATCAAAAACTCCAGGATGGTGCACCCTGGACAGAAAATGAAATGAAAATGAAAGCAGCCAAAGCATAAAAAAAAAAAAAAGATTCATTTATTTCTCTACTGTTTACCTCCGTTTAATGCATTGTGCACTTTTGGCCTGAGAATACAATTTGGCTCGTTGAGCAGGTAGTGGACTGATTAAAAAAAACAAAATAAAAAAAAAACAAACAAGCAAGGTTCAAGAGAAAAATAAAAAAAACAATCACCTGTTTAGCTCAGCCCCAAGCGAAATACAGCACAGCGCCACTGTGTTCCACGTCAATTGGATTTTGGAGAATCTGTTGAGAAGTAAATGTTTCCAGGTTGTTAACAGGTTACCTCGCCACCTGGATGCGGGATCGAAATAAAAAGTGAAGCAATGAGTTGTGTTTATTACACTGTAGAAACATATTGGTATTAAATTGATCTGAGCTCTATTGAAGAAAACCGAGTCTGAAACAAAAACACGATGTAAAGAACATCTCGGCCCGCCTGGAGGGCAGACTGCAGCACTGAGCCGGTAAAAACAGCCGCATCAGACTGTGTGGTTTTTATCTGGATCAGCAGAATAAGGCTGGATTTTATTCTGCGTGGGTTTGTAAAGACTCCTTCAATTTCACAATGGCTTTTTTTTTTTTACCTAGATGTTTTGCTTGTGGTGATTTTGAGCTTTGTTAGAGAACCTGGCTCAGGCTGGCCGACTAGAGGGGTTTAGGAGACAGAGTGAAAAAAGAAACAGAAGAACTGATGTAGTAATTCTTTCCATGTTAATATAAAGTGAAAAGTCAATAGCAGGAGATGGAGAACGTTTAGTTGCTGTTGCATTACCTCAGACGATGTCCCCCTACAGAGGCATCACAACTAAACACAACAGAGGCTACTTCTAGAGGCCAGATGGAGCTTCTATGGAGCAAAACAAAGACGAAAACAAATTGGAGAGTAGTAGAAAAAATAGTCAGTTTATCCTCCAGATGCCTTAGCTCATTTTATTTATGTATTTTATTTGACTCACGGTTTAAGAAATTTTTAGCGCGTAAAAAAGAATAAGAGGTTTTCCAATTCATCACAGAGCAGCTCTGAGACAGACAACCAAACGCACATCTGAGGATGATTCATTTAAAATGCATGTTTTGGACTTTATTGGAGAATTACAGTCAGTCAGATCATAAGACCTTCTGGTTGTGATGAAACATTGAGAAAATTTAGCAGAGCTGGACTGAAGGTCAGCGGAGGCCAGTAAGGTCAGCCATTTAACTCAAGCATCTACAGGAACACATCCATCCATCCATCCATCCATCCATCCATCCATCCATCCATCCATCCATCCATCCATCCATTCATTCATGCAGGGTATCTATGGGGATTAATTCCTGTCTTCATCAGTCGATGGGTGAGAGGCGGTTCACCCTGAACAGGTCGACCGTCCGTCTCAGTGCCTGATCTCCAATATTTCATATTTTGGTCCCGTTTGCCACCAGTGTTTGATTGTGTCTGACTTTGATCCCACCAACATGAGCTAATCTTTGTGAGCTGGCCTGATAGAGTCCAGCAGTGTTTTGTTGATCTAATCCATCCACCTGCCTGAGCGCCTTAACCACCTGTGTGTGATTCCTGGTAGATCAGCCGTCATCACAAGCACTCTGTGGCACAATGCTCATTTGTTTTACTCCACTCAGCATTCATTGGCTCATTAATTCCACTGTTGTTCATCTTACAGCCATCTATTGATCACCTCTGCTATTTCCTATCTTCGGGATTTTTATATCTTTTCTGAGTCTTCTGATACGTATATGGGTTCAGACAGGGGTTTTTTATAATTCAGGCAAAAGGCCCATTGTCCAACTGTCTAAGCTTCACAGCAGATCAATTTACTGATTTGCTGTGAAATTGATCACCTCTGGATAAATCACAGCAAGATCTGTAATGCTAGCAATAAAATGTTGTAGCACAGCCCGAGCTTGCTCCAACAGGCTGAAACTTCATCTCTGCAGCTAAAACTCCGCTTGGAGTTTTTGGATTGTTCCAGAAATCTTTTCTTCTTAGCTGCAATCTTCTCAGCAGTTTCCCCAAAAATGATGCTAAAAAGAAATGGCGGCTGCCCTCCTTTGTTAGGAGGGAAGCGTTGTTGGCAGATTGCCCAACGCTTATAGCCCTTGACTTTCAATAACAGTCAGTCTGTGTGAGTACTCACCCTGGGAATGCATTGAATAATTTTCATGCATCCAGGTGAGGTTGTGAGGAAAATTATCATTGTTATTTTAATAAGAAAACCAATTCCTTCTGTCTTTGCAGGCGATCTTGATGGACACAAATTGTTCAATGAAGACAAGGTCCTACACTACGCAGGGGACGTACTACCAGGGCGACGACATGGACCCAGAATATGACGATTATGATTAACAAGACGACAGCCGAGCAGCTGAACCCCCTCAGATTCTATATTTTGTTGTACAAAAAAATTTAAAAAAAAAAAGAAAAGAAAAGAAACCCGGGGAATAAAATGAAGCATCACAGCCAAGATAATTCCACGTCAATGTTCCTGCATTTGGTCGTCACTGTTCAGTGTTCTCTTCACAGTCGTATCGGAGGAAGCCAAAGTTGTTCTTAAAATGTGCATTTTGTGACAAGTGGTTTTAGCCGACAGCCTTATTCAGATGTGTCAAAAAGCACTTTGCAGACAGGAAGGGCAGCGAGGACAGTCTCTCTGACGGTTTATTTCGAATCCAGAACTTGTTCATATTTAATGTTTTTTGCCCTTTGAGTTCATGTGTGTCAACATTACTGTCTAGAAAATATTAGCGGAACTTGATGTCCGGGTTGTGATAACTGCTAAGTGTGTGATATGTCAACAAGGGTAAGGGAAATTTGTTACATTTGTTTCAAATTGATGCAAATAAATGTTATGGATGAGCTGCAAGGGGACAACAGTAGTGCCAAAAGTAATTCATTATTTAAACCAAGAATATTGGTTTTCGTTTGGCCATGTGTTCAGCTTTGATTCCACAGAATTTGACTAACCCATGGAAAAAAAGAAAGATACAAAATTAATTAAAAAAAAAAAGCAGCAAGTACAAACATAATAACGTAATGAAGAATCTGTAACATTTTCAGTCCAGGATCTATATGGTTCTAATGTAGGGTCCCTTTTGTTTTTGTTTCTGCTTTTGTATGTTGAATTTTGGCAACACAGGTTAACAGTTAACAAAAGTAGCTGCTGTCCTGTTTTTTTTTTTTTTTTTTTTAAAAAAACATATCAAATAGGAGTGTAAAAATATATCCAGCTTGTGAGACTGTACACTGTACTAGGTTAGGAAAAGGAGAAAAGATTTTAACAATATTTTTGGGGAAACTATTAAGCCCATGTTTTTTTTGTTTTTTTGTTTTTTTTTGTTTTGTTTTCACGAATAAAGGTTTTACAAATTCAACTCTCACAATTATTGTAGAGTAATGCGATACAGTCAATCGGCCTATTTAAAGGGCGACCAGTTGTCAGTGTGCTGTTTGGTGACATGGTGTACCACACTGAACATGGAGTACAGGAAGCAGAAGAACTTGATGCTCCTTTGGCTGCAGCTGCACATATTATTCAGCTGAGGAGGAAAATCAATGACAGATTGAAGAGAAGGATTTCATTTTAAATGTTCTTTACCCAGAAACATACCGTTTGTAAATTCTTTATATGGCTTCACGTGTCACAAATTGGGATTGGTTTGTTTCGTTTTTTATTCGTGGGGACGTATGATCCTTCGTTATTCTTAAAAAGCTTTTCTCTCTCTCTCCATGGAAACGATGACACTGAAATCAAATCCAGTGACAGTTTGGATTTTCAGCACCATTAGCTTCTCTCGCCTTAAAATGCGTTGAGTATTTTACAAATGGCCGTCTTTCTTTACATGTGATTTCATATTCCAGCCGTGGGAGCTCAGAATGAGTCAAGCAACATACGAGCTTTTTCAGCATGCTCCAGGAAATACTCGTGTTGATTGCCTGAAGTGCGTGCTGGAAGACAGCACAATGAGTTGCCATGACAGGGAGATGTGGGAGACAGTACACTGTAATCAGTCTGTCCATCTTAAAACTGGGCTTCAATTACTTTGCAGATGCTTGCACAATACCTCTGTTTCCTTATCAACAAAAACCGGAACATTTTTCTTCTTGAATAACAACAGTAGGGGGGAAAAAACCAAACATATATATATATATATATGTTTTGTTTTGCAAAAAGGTGCTGCAGTAACATTAAAATATTCCGAGATCCTCAAAGAAACCCATCCTAAGCTAGAATATATGATACGATATGATATGCCTTCCCTTACAGGCAGTAAAAACTGCGTCACTCCAGATTATTAGTCTCAACATAACAGTTGCATAAATGAAGAAGTAGGACTTTAATTTCTATATATTGTTAAGAGGGTTTCCCCTCAGTGTATTACAAGCCTGGCGGGCCACCAGGCTTTATATGTGCCACCACCAGGGTTAGCATTGTTAATTTATCTTAGGTTTTTTTAATTATTGCCTTTTTTAAATATTTTATAGTTATTGTCTAGGTCTGTCCAGGTACTCTGGCTTCCTCCCACAGTCCAAAAACATGATTGTCAGGTTAATTGGTCTCTCTAAATTCTCCCTAGGTGAAAGTGTGTGTGCATGGTTGTTTGTCCTGTTTGTCTCCGTGTTGCCCTGTGACAGACTAGCAACCTGTCCAGGGTGTACCCCATCCCTCGCCTGGAAGGTTAGCTGGAGATAGGCACCAGGAACCCTCCTGACCCCACTAAGGGACAAGGGTGTACAGGAAATGGATGGATGGCTCTATTTAAAGGAACTCAGTGTTTCAGTAGTTTTCTGGAAAAGCTGCCACCAACCCTTGTAATAGGACAGGCCTGTCCTCAGAACCACACACGACGGATGGACAGAGTTTTTTTCTTTTTTGTGGATTACGAACTCTTGAATTTCAGAAACGGTACATTTTCAAACCTGAAAAGAATACTGTACATCTTTTACTGAGACAGAATATTTCTCAGCAAAAAGGAAATCTTCTCTTTTACTGAGAATAATCTTATGCAGTAATCTTATGTTCCAGTAAAAAAAAAAAAAAGTGTTACCAAAAGGGATCCAAACTGAACAGAGTTAAGCTGATAACATCACTGAATTTGTCAAATTCAATTGGCCAAGCAAATGGTGCATGTTTCAGGTTCTGTTCACTCAGGCCAACATTTGATTTGTTGGAAGAGCAGCCTTGGACGAGATTGACTCAGTACAAATAGCTATATCGTTTTAAGCTAGTCTTTAATCAGAAATGAAGCAAATGACAAGGACTTGGACCAACTGTTCTACTTTCAATCACTCACAAGCAGATGTCTGGTATAAAGACATTTAAAAATGAGTTTGTGTTTAAAACTCAGCAAAGTTGAAAGTAAACTGGGAAGAAAAAAAAGGCAAAACGGTGGTTGGAATTCAATTATTCCTGTTTATTTAAGCTATGTACAATAAAGCTTCATTACAAGTCTTTCTCCAAAACTTTATATAACACCCCTTAAAATACACACCAAAAAAAAAAAAAGAACAAACACCATGTTGACCTGCTGAAAGCTGTGGTGGGCAGTCATTCGGCCACTGAGGGACGATGAGGGCAGAAGCGTTCTTTGTGACAGAATAAGCAGCAGAAGCGAGAACATTGCTTCACAGCCCAACGGAGGGATGTACAGTTTAAAGTCAACTACTCTTTCGGGAGTTCACCACTTCACAAAATCCTCCCCCCCCCCACAGTTTAAAGAACAGATCACAGAATCTGGGATTTATTCCTGATCATCAGTTTCAATGCAACAAAAACCAAATACACTTTTGAAAAATTTCTGCAAAGGGAGTTGGAGGTGGAGCAGTAAGCAGGAATCTTAAAAAAAAAAAAAGAAAAGAAAAAAGAATCATTTTGCTTTTTATGGCTCTGGCTTATTAATTCTCTCTTGGACATGAATGTTGCATTTTGGGCAACACTTGCTCATTTAATTGTTAATTTTCTACGAACTTCCTAAGCAAGTGAGTCGTTTTATGGAAACAACACAAAGAGGAAGCTTTGTGCTGCAAGTGTGTTTCGTCTTCAGCCTCACAGCAGAAGACTAAGTGAACATGGGCAGGACATCACTCTGCAAATATCACTCCATCTTTGGTCAAATAATTGTGCAAAAAAAAAAAAAAAAAAGAACATATTTAGTTTGTTCGTGGTCAATAAAGAGAGACACCAACCTAATTCCACCAACACAGAAGGAAAAATTTTCACCCTCCCTTAAAATTCACCCCCCCACCCAAAAAAAAATCCCTCAACTACTTTTCATAGAATGTTAAAACGCAGTAGCCTGTTCCCAAATGTCTGTTTTAGTTGTTTTGTTTTTTCTTTTCAATTTTTTCCTCTAGCTCAGCATCTTGCTATGATTGTTTCATTCCAAGAGGGGAATGCGTCGTAACACCTGCATGGGAAGCTGCAGTTTCTACTGGTCACCCAACAAGAGCTGCATTGGTAGCACAAAAATAGGAAAACTTCTTTCCCATAGTGAACGTCTCATTTCCAGCCGCACTAACTGATCTCGGATGCAAAACATGTTGAGTTTGGGGGGGAGAAAAAAAATGTAGCTGGCTGCCATGAGCTGCACCGCGGATTTTAGTTTTATAAAGAAGGTTGAGAAACAAAGCTGTAAGCACACATTACCCACTAAACAAATATACATTCATCTGGGCTAGAATCCTAAAGCAAAAAGAGTGTAATCCACATGAAGTTAGTTTCGCTTACATAAATGAAAGCAAACAGCTTGAATTAACATCTACATGCGTTCGGGTGTAGCATTTATTCAGAGAAATGAGGTGAACTGTTAAGGATTTCTGATGTTGCATCCATAATGGTTTGTATAATAAAGTAAAAGAGTCATAGTGAAGTCCAGGATGGAGAAGTATTCTGCACAAAACAAGATGTTGGAAGTCCAATAAATAATAATGAGCAGAGGAATAGATTAAAATCAGCAGCCAGGACAATTCCATCTTGTACCACTAATTACTCAAAATAAACTTAGTTACAAGCAATTAAAGAAGGAGAAAAAAAAAAAAGTACCACCAGTGCATAAATACATTGTAACAAATATTAAAAGGAACTGTTGCAGCAGGCTGAGCTGCTGCCAAAATTCTCACATTTATTGGGAAAAATATAATCGAAACAAGAAGGAAGGATGAATGCAATCATAGGTTAGTGGACGAATGGACGATTCCTCATCCGTACTTCAGATTGGCCTGTTTCTCAAGGCAAATTCTCAAAGTGAACAATCATTAAACGTTACTGTTCTCCACCCTCAAAAAATGAAGAAATGTGCAAATTTTGCAAAGACCTCCAATCAAAGTAAGATTACAAGGGTTGCAGTAAAACAAAACAAAACAAATCAAACAAACCTGAAAAACAAACACTTAGCACAGACAATGAAAACAAAAGACAACCTAGGTCTTGCAATGGGATCAAAAATAAAAACATCAGTAGTGAAATCTCAAAACCGTAATTTCATTAACATTAAAGAAAAATAAAATAAAAAGGTGAGAGTGAAAATACCTCAACGCCCGTGTGTTTAGGACGGACTGGACAAAATCCTCAGTATCAAAATCATAAATGGGACATTGCCTTGCTGAAAAGCCCAAACCCAATCCACATGTTACGTTTTCATCTCTTTCCAAATTGGTACTAGTGGAGTGCCTCCACACAGATCTGCTCCTCACTGATCTCATCCATCAACGGCACCTCCACAGGGCTGCAGATGTCGCTGTCATACACCTCTGGTCCCATAAGAACTTCCTCCTCCAGACTCTCCGCTTTGCTTTTGAATCCTTGCTGCTCTGAAGGAGACATACTCTCCACAGACTCCAGGTCCTCTATGCCTGCTCGGTAGTGGATCATCAGAAGAGTGAGGGCCTGAAGTCTCTCACCTGACTTGGCCAGAGCAGTACAGATGAGGGCCTTTCGCCGTGAATCCGTGGCCTCCTTCTCTTCCATCATAAGAGCATTATTGTGCTCCAGCTCCTGGTCAATTTCTTGTTGGAGTTTGTCCAGCATCAGCTCCAGCTTCTGCGAGCGCTCGTCTGTGGGCAGGCCCCTGTACAGGTCCCGGCCGATCTCCTTTACGGCGATGAAGACGCTATCGTCCAGTCCGCCCTCCTTTCGTACAAGTTTGCTGGTGCCACTGCCGCTAGTTGGCTGCTTTGATGGGCTTGCTCCACTAGTGTATGTCTCAGTGTCACTGCTCTCGTTGTCAGATGTGTTGGGCGTTTGCTTGGGTGACGGTTCCACAGCTCCAGGCACCGCATCGGTCACCTGCTCGAGTCGTGTCTTGGGTACCTGGCGAAGATTAAGCAGACGTGAACTGGTATTGATGATGTGACGCGTTAACCCTGTGGCCCGGTTCATGGTGGATTTGGCTTCAGGATCAGCGCCACGACGTTCAGCCGTTGCCACACAGAGAGGACTTTCAGCAAGGCACTTATCCTGGCACTTCTTATGGCAAACGTAGGAACAAATTATACACTGCGAGGCTGCCTTCGTCCAAACTTTCTTTTTGCAGTATTCACACCAAGTAGGGTTCTGGAACTGCGTGTCGTGGAAGTTGTGACGGACTTCTTGTGACTGCATAGTGCTGTAAGCCAAATCATCACGTGGCGCAGAGGGATTGGGTTCTTTCTCTCTCAAATCCTCATCGTGGAGGCTTCCCTCACGCTCCCGTTCGATCAAGCCCACCGGACACTCTAACTCACCCTCGGCCAAGTAACAGAAGTTTAAGGTGATATCTCCATAGCATAGCTTTTCATTGAAACCCTTGTGCGTGCTGAGATTGCGTAGTGCAGTGCGGCTGACATTTGCTTTTGGCTCTGGGGGCCCCAACCTAAAGATGCTCTGGTACTCTGAAGAAGATGTAGCCATACATTCCAGTGCCACATGCTCCAATGGGAGGCTGACATGACCCAGGCACAACAAACTGCCTAACTTAAAGGGATCTTTGCACCACAGGGCCACATTGAGATACTTATGGTGAGTCTCCACCTCAAACACCACAGAGGCCTTGGACCAGCATGCTGTATGTTTACTAAATATAGTTTCTGGGGATTCCCAGAGTGAGTGGTCATCTAGACTGTCTCTTGTGCCAAAGGAAATTTCTGAAACTTTGTCCTTTGCTTGATCTGCCTTGCTGCTGGTAACAGAGCAAGAACTAAGAATCTCATCACTGGCGTCTGCTGCTTTTGTATTCTGTTTTCCTTCAGACTGCTTGATGCTCGTCTTCTCTGTGCCACTCTTATCCTCAGTGGTTCCACAAACTGAAATCTTGTCTAACGATTTTTCAGAAGCACTGGTGGTGGTAACGACAGTGTTTGTAACCAAGTCAACACCTTCCAGAAGACTGGTTTCTGAGGATGCAGACGTCAACCGTATCTGTGGTCTTGGTGGCACCGGGGGACGTGAAGGAGGAGGTGGAGGAAGAACAGTGGGCCGATGCACACTCTCACCTGGTTCACTGCTGGTTTTATGTGGTGAGGGTTTGGGCGATTCTTTGGGCTGGGGCTTTAGCGGAGACTGCAGACCGACAAGGTTTAACTTTCGGTTCAGTATGGGTGATATAGTACCAAGGGGCTTGGAAGCCAAGTTGGCCACTGTTCTTTTAGGACTTTGGTTAACAGCAAGTAAGAAGTCCTCCTTGGTTTCACTGATATTTGTGTTACTTATAGTAGGTCCACTAGGCTGGTTGAGTTTGGTGTCCACAAGCAACTCCTCAAACTCAGAGTCCATGTCTTTGTTGTCAGATATATCAGAAAGATTGGAGATGGGGGCTGGGTCTTCCTCATAACTTGTTGGCTGGGGAGTGAAGCCGGTTTCCTCTAGCTGACCAAGTCCCTCCTGTAGAGTCCCAAGGTTTCCTAAAGGAGGAGTCTGATGGCGAACTGGTCTCTCATATAACACCACCACCCTGTCTCCTGCCTGTTTCAACAGTTTGGGCACTTGAACTGAAGACGTCACTTTCACTCCTGTCAAAAGAAAGCACACATTTTTTCCTTCAGTAAAACAAAGTCACCTTGTGTCTTTTAAACTTTCAAAAATACATTTTTCTCTTTAAGTAAATAAACAACGAATACCTCCAATAGCAATGAGGCGATCGCCCTTCTGTAGGTCAGCCTGGGATGCAGGAGAGTTGGGTGTTACCGTTTCTATGCTGACATAGACTGCATCACCTTCCAAGGCGGGTATGTGCCTGAACGTCATCCCCACATTGCCACACGGTCCTTTAACAACCTCCGTCTGATGCAAACAAGTAAAAGAAAATCGAACAGTTAAGGAGACTGAGATTTTAGAAGCTATACATGATGGACTACAACTTTATTCTCTACAATCACTGGCAAAGATATTGGAAGGCTCAAGGTTGCATTATGTAATATGATCAGCGTCTTAGCATGGGGTGAACAGTACTGATATAAAAAGGCATGCTCTGATCTGATCCAGGGTGGCAGTCAAGGAATTAAAAAAAAAATTGTATTGGAGTCCCTGACCAAACTCAAATCCCTGTCAATGTTGATTACGACTGGTCTGTGTGAACGGTCAGTTGCATCATATCAATCAAGTTTATTTGTAAATCACATTTCAGCAACATGGCAGTTCAAAGCACTTTACAAAGGGAAACATAAAAGAACATCATACTCGCATCATATACTCGCATCAGTTGTGAAAACGAATAACAGACATTACATTTTCTCAAGTGCCGTCATTAGAATTATCAATACACATCAAATGTCGATCAATATTCTGTTTATTATGGTTCAAAAGCAACTCTAAACAAGAAGGGTTTTTAGCCTTGATTTAAAGAAACTCAGTGTTTCAGCTGTTTTAAGGTTTCTGGAAGTTTGTTCCAGATTTGTAGTGAATAAGAAGGCAGTAGGTTAGTACAACCTCCTACCTTCCACCAAGCAGAAGGTCTTTAAGGTATTGTGGTGCTAAGCCATTCAGTGATACATAAACTAACAGTATTTTAAACTCTATTCACTGAGCTCCAGGGAGCCCATGAAACGACTTTACAGCTGGGGAGTCGTGCTCTACCTGCCTGGTTTTAGTGGCACGCCAGCCACTAAACACCAGCAGCATCGTTCAGATTTTGGACCTGAACCTTAGTTTCTAGCTGTAACAACTGAAACTGTGCGCTGACTCGAGGTCGCTCTTCTTTCGGACCACAAATAATTACTTTAGTTTTGTTTCTGTTCAGCTGGAGAATGTTATGTCAGATCCATGCATTTATTTGTTCTAAAAATCTGCTCAGTCAGTGCATGGATGGGTTCAGAGACACCAGGTGACATGTAGAGCTGTGATTCTCGAACATGGAATATTTTCATCTGACTTTTAGAAAGAAAGTCCAACTATGACGTCTTCAACCTAACATAAGTCACTCAAACTGAGGCAGTTCTTTGGAAGAGTTCATATCTGGCCCAGAACCACAGCTGCAGAAGTAACAACATGCTTACTTTATGACTATTTGTGCAAAGGAGCAAGAAGTGAACAGCAAATAATAAAGTGAATGCAACCTTGAAGAATTTTAAGGTGACCGGTTGAGATTGCTAATCTGACAGAATAATATTTTAGGATGTTTCCGAGTATGGGAACTATACGAATGAGGTGAATATGGAAAACATTGGCAAGGATAAAGATGGTGCAGGTGCCTTCATTTAAAAGAAAGAAGAGCTGACATGGTGTGGGAAGGCAGAGACAAATGACTGTAATTTCCCATGCTATCATTTGTTACTGTTCAGCTGGAAGGTAGTGATTGAGTTAGAGCTGGCCCTGAATAAGCAGATGATCTATACATACTGGCAGGCGAGGGGGTGAGGGAATGGGTTTAGCAGGTGGAAGGCGAAAGCTCACTGCTGTGGGTGAGTCCTGAGCGACACTGTTTGCAGTCAGGTTACATGCCAAAATGACACCAAATGTAGAACTGATTTAAGCTAAAATCTCTCGCATCAATGATACAAACTTACCAAACATTTAACTTTTGTGGATTTTGCCTTGCTGATTGAAAAAACTGCTCGGCTCTGACTGCAATATTGCTTTATGTGATGTATATGATCGTGATAGTCCTCATAAACAGGTTTTAAACAAGTTAAGTAAATTAGCTTCTCCCCAATTAGATAGCAATATAAATAGAGAACTATTAAAAGAAGCATTTGACAACACTGACTTTTTCTTTAAATAAAAAGGTAATATTTCAGAAACAAAAATGCTTAAGACATTTGATTGCTGGCAGTGGTTTTGTTTGGCTCTGTACTTTTCTCTTCACAGTGGGAAAAGGCTGTTTAAAGCACACACACAATTTCTGGTAAGCTTCATAGCGTTGCGTCCTTTACGGTGGCGCTGGCACATTACATAAATCAGCCAAACATTCGCGATTGGGTAAAATCTGATTCAGTCGTTTAAAACTTCAACAGAGTTCACGCCTCCAGCAAGCGATTGTTTCTCAACAGGTCCAGACTTTCTGTACGAAGAATAAGTGGCTAGTCTCTTCCAGGGTAGTAGTTTACCCATTGACACAATTTGTACATAGTGAACTCTCCACACAGACAGCAGAGGATATTATAGTGACAGAACAAAGATTGTCAGAGTCCTTAAGTATAAAATTAAATTGTTTTTCAGGGTAGGAAATGTGGTTTTAGCATCTGGGAGAGTTACACTGATGCCATACATTACAAATAATGTCATACAACACAAACTACTACACAAAGAGTAGTTTGTGGTGAACGAGATAACTTGACAATTCACTCAAATAATTATATATCGCACCTTTTTGGCTAATAACTGGAATATTGTCCTCCATGCAGGCACAATAATTGGAACAAGTGTTTGTCCATGTAACCTACTTTGTGTGAGAGTAACACACAAAGGAGGCCATAAGGTTCAGGGTAACCCTAACCCTAAGGTTACTATGGGGACAAATGTAGAAGCTACTCATAATAAAATTACTTTTATTGTACAGTCTTTTAGCAAACAACCTGAAAACTGCATAGAATGACAGGATATGCAAAACATGGGGATATTAAGCAGGATATTGGAAACAGAAGAGGACATATATCCTCATTTCAAACCTAATGACGTAATCCATCTAACACAGGGTGTTGGACCAAAAGAGGAAATGACCTATTCTTTCTGAAGAGAATGATTCGGCATTACTCGCCTTGGACACCATGCTTAGAAATAATAATAATAATTAAAAAAAACATGACTTTTATATCAAAACTTTTTTGCATAGTCTTCATGGTGGAAAAAAATTGGGCTCAGTTGAAAATATTCATCTCTAACTCAACAAGATTGGTTGCAATAAAGTACAGGTTTGCTGAACCATGCAATGCTTTGCGTTCTCTGTTACTCTTCATAAAAGCTACATCTGGTCTGGCATTCTGTTTTGCTATAGGGAGGGTGCACTGACTAAGATAATGCTGCCAAAAAAACGTAAAGCTCTGCACAGTCTCTCTCCGGGACAAAGCTTTTGGCTGAGCTTTTGCTACGACTAACTGTATGTGCCCAGATTCATCCAATAGACTTGAAGACCGGTTCAGAGCTCATCTTTACTGTACTCTAGCTCATTGTGTTTGAGGAAAAGAATTAGCTAAGCTTTACCTTTAACTAAATCAGGAAAAAAAAAATCTCATCCGAGTATCGTCTCCGACCTGGATTGAATTTGGTGCAGCTGGACCACCATCTCACATCAAGGAAAACTTATTTGATAAGGAATTAAACTTGACTGAGTTGCAGAGGCTTGGACAGACTCGTATCGTGGCGCATTGTGTTGCCACCATTTGATAAACACCATTACAGAAAAAAAAAAGAAAAATGAATAATATCAGGAGGCTGCTTTTTTACACAATTAAACCTTCACTCCACATATTTCAAATGCTGTCACTATTGTCCATGTGTTGTGTCAATAGGTCAGTGAAAGCATCATATCAATACAAATTCCAAGCATAATGCACATGTGGTTAAATTTCTCTTTACAAAATGAGGTAAGGGAGAAGCTAGCCACTGGTTCATGACTGTCATTGCAGTCTATTGTGGTCACTCGCCTTGCAGCAACTGCAACCGACAGTTGTGTGGCGAATAACGGGAACATATTGGCAAGAAGGGTGTTGAAGTGCGGACTTCACGCGGCTGTAACAACCATTTGAAATAGTGTGTCTGAGAATTTCTGCTGGTCAAAACAACAAGAGTCCACTTAGCCACCTGTGCAGATCCTGGAAATGGAGTCCTCTCCTCAGCCCAACCCCACCCCCATCACCACTGGGCCTGCTAATTAGATGTGGCAGGGAATTGCTGTGCACTTGCCTTGCAGCGACTGGTACCCTATAACCATACACAAATCGATCTGACATGTGGTATGAGATTAAATTACCAAGCAGCGCAGTGACAGGAAAAAGAGTTTTCTCCTCCCCATCCTCTCCATCTCACAAACACCCTGACAGACCTGCTGTAAACCAGAGGGATGTTCAACCAAGCAAAAGGAGACGCCGTTTCAGTCCACCTACCACCTGGTTACCTTCCACTGGAAATTTGTTCCAGGTAGTCAAATAACCTTCTAGACTCAGAAATTTATAAGAATGTTTCCTACAGAAGATCCGCTTTGGCAGATTGTCAATCCAATCTCAATTAACTGTCCACATAAATTAAACAGAGCAATTACATATTTCCAATATAGTTGCAAAAGATACGCTGAAAAGCCACCAATGAAAACAAAAAAGTCAAAAGGAGGAACATTTTCCAGATTTCTCAAAAACACATAACCAACAAAAGATGAAATTGAGTCCGTAGCTGCTGCCTGTGTTGACAAAATGATAAGAGTCAAATAGATTTGTTTCAAAGTTCCAGGAGGATGACGCCTTCAGCAATTTTCTTTATTATCGCAACATAATATATTAACAAGGTCTTAATTCCCCCAAAGAATCTTTGCATAAATTATGTGCATCTGTCTTTTCCCACCCGGCTGCTCGAGGCCGCCTCACTGCACGCCACACACACTGAATGCATTCACAGCAGGATGAAAAATAGAAATATTGCTATTTGCAAGGCTTTGTGAAGTGATAAGATGTTTGCTTATATATAACTTGCACAAATAACGTTGACATTTTAAGAAGTGGAATCGAATTGATTAAGGTGGTAGGTTTGTAGCAAACATGGTAACATAAGAAACCTTCAAAGTTCAACCTCTTCGGTTTTATAATGCAACTACTTTAGTGGCTAGAAGTAATTTTGGTCTAGTAGCTTTACTTTTTTACATTCTGGTGCATGTGGTCTGAAGTTCACAATGCATCAGTGTGTAAAATAAAGCAGTGAGAGGAGGGATTTTATCAGAGGTTCTCTTTGGGATCAAACAAAGATCGGTCTAGCTTTCAATCCCGGAGGATAACAGGAGATCATGATAGCTCCCAATTTGAACATATTAACCTTTGATTTGTTCTGTGGCCGAGCAGATATAAAGAGAGGCTGCTTCACCAAAACAGACGGTGAATTGTTCCATTTACATCTGGCCTGTTCATGCTGCTACGTGCCGTTTGGTTTTTCTCCTCAGAGACAAGAAACCAGGAGCTGCTTGTTGTCTTAGTCGATGTTAACAAGGTTAGCCGCTGCTGCTCAGCCCTGAGAAAAAGCACCAGTACACCACAATTAAACTGAAAATTGCAGACGCACTAA